GCCAAGAATGTGTTGGCCACAGAGCTCTCATCAAGCCTGTTTTCACTGCAAGGAACAGAATTTTACTCAGGCTAATTCAAATTAAGAAGTAGAGCTTTATTATTATAAGAGATCAGTAGTTAATGTCCTGCAGGGGACAGCCTGGGAATGTAAATGAGTGAAATGGAAAAGGTGTAAGGAAGAGCAGGAGGAGAGGAGTGTGGCAGGGAGACACAGGCCCCAAACAACGTGGTGGGCACTACTCAGCTCCAGCTGATTCCGTTGCACGCGAGTCCAGTGTGACCAGATCTCCCAATTTTCAAGATACAAATCTGGGTTTTTACATGAAAGCTCCAAATTTTAGTACATTGGATCAAAAGTGTTTAAATGATGTGTGAGCCAAATAAAATTCATCTGAAGTCCAGTGTGACCAGATCTCCCAATTTTCAAGATACAAATCTGGGTTTTTACATGAAAGCTCTAAATTTTAGTACATTGGATCAAAAGTGTTTAAATGATGTGTGAGCCAAATAAAATTCATCTGCAGTCCAGACTGGTCTGATGGTCTGCCAGTTTGCAACCTCTGAAGTGTTAGAGAGATCTTGTAGAGTACAGCCTGGGCTCACACCATGGAACTGGGAACTGGGGAGCCACCTCGGCCCAAGGCAGCACCCTCTCTGAATCTGTGGCTTTCGTTTCTGCCCCTCTTTGCAGACCGGCTTCCTTTTCTGTCCTTGTGGCTGCTACAATGCATAACCATGCATATGGCTTCAGCTCACTGTGGCTTCATGACCTAATAACTCAGCTCTGCAAACACATCTGACTCAGCTGTTCCATGTCCCACTTCTAAGTTCTCAGGAAAGGAAGCTTGATTGGCCCAGTTTAGTATTGGTTCCAGTCCTGGTCCAATTAAGTTGGGTCAGGGAGGGGTGATCAAGAGGTACGAATAGGGTGGCTTTGGCCTGACCTTCAGTAGGGTGGCACAGATAATTGCTGGTATGTCTGGAATCCACAGCAACATATACATAAACTCTTGAGTCTATTTACCATAACTCTCTATTATGGACCATGTCATTGCATGTGGTCTGTGTGCATGGACTATCCACCATGTACATAACATGATATTCAACACTGAGGATGCAAAAAATCACAAGACACGTTCCTTACCTTCATGCACTCACAACATAAACGGATCATTGTGACACAGAGTGATAGGGGCCCCAATGGAGGGATGCAGAGTGTTGTGGGTGGCACACAGAATGCTAAGCCTGAAGCTGCAGAGCATCCTGGAGCTCCTTCCTACTCCTCAAAGATTCAGTGGTTTCAGTCAGACTTTGGTCACTGGTGGCACTTTACTATATTCTGTATTTCAACATTTGCATACATCACGTATCATCATTCTCAGTTAATCAAGAATATTTGATGATGAACCACTTCAAATGCTCCTACCACCACCATGCCAGAGAACAGGGAACTTTCTAAATTCATCAGGACACAACTCCACTCACAAGGGCATAAAAAGAACAAAATAGGAATAAATTTAACAGAAGGAACGCAAGACTTAATACAAAACATTGCTGAAATTGAAGATATAAGTGGAGAGACATTTCACATTCATGGATCAGAAGACTTAAAATGGTTAAGATGTCAATTAAAATACTCCCTGAATTGACCTATAGATTCAACACAATCCCATCAAAATCCCAACTGGCTTCTTTGCAGAAATTGGCAAGCTGATTAGAAAAGTCATATGGAAATGGGAAGGA